TATATATATATCTTCTCTCTTCTTAGGAGTAGGATTGGCTGGCACAGAAAACAACTCTCCAGCCACATTCAAATTGGACAATATGTATTGGGTTGGTCTGTTGCAGTTTTTTTATTTAAGGGAAGCCAAATCTGCTTGATAGAAAACACACACACCCTTTCCACCATGCTAGGCACCTTGAGTTTAGCTGTGTTTCCAAAAAGGAAAGTAAAAATTCAAACCATGAGACAAACAAAACTACATGAGTTTTAGCTAAATAAAGATATAAGTTATAACTAAGATAACTGAGGAAACAAAGCCTTTTCTAAACCACTCATTCACCTTCAAAACAGTTTATTTTCTTTCAGTATTTCTGCAAGAGAAAACCCTTATTCCATTTTCTATACCAGCAAACAAAGGTGCTAAAACCAGTAGGGATAGAAGCCAAATTCACTCCCCCCCAAACATCACTGGAATTTTTTTAGTGCTGTAAAAACAGATACTGCAAGGCCACATCTAGTTTAAGAATCTAGAGGAAAATACATTCTCTATGACTTTATTTTCCTGCTCTTCAGAAAAATCCCGTGGGAAGATATCACTCATCTCTTGTGCTGTGAGACAAGAATCAGACTGCACCCTTCACATTCAGATGTGATAATTCTGATCAACCTATTCACGTAAGAAAGTGCCTATGATTCACTAGTAAAAACCATTGAAAATTGGGAGGAAAATGATATCCAGCACAGAGAAAAGTTTAAAAAAAAAAAAAAAAATGAAAGAAAAACCACACAAATAAAAACTCCCAAGTTTCAGTATATACATATGCACCAATTCATGTTCTGAGAAATTTTTTTGTTTTCAATAGCTTGATGTACAGCACTATCACTGGATTCATTAACTGAAGGCATTCCTACATCAATTCTGATCCCAAGCTGGGCTTGCATTAAAACTTTTCCCTTAAAAGGAGGCAATTATAAGATCACTCCCCTCCTCCCAGCTGTGTATTTTTATGAAATTCAAGAATTCAACAAGTTCAGTATCTCCTCCTCATTCAAGTTTGGATTAAATTGGCAAAACTGCGATAGTGAAGGGAGAGGAACATCTATTTTGGATTCCTAGGAAACCAGACTCAAGCAGAACTCCAGAACTCATTTCTTGATAAGATGTATTTAAAAACATTACCCAACTTGACATTCATCTTAAAAAATAAAAAGAGAAAACCAAACCACATCATCAACAAAACAACAGAAAAAAAACATACACCTAATTGTTTTCCCCAGAGGTAGCCACTGAACTGATCCTATGCTGTGCTCCATCTCCCCTCACTCCAAGCCAATATGCTAAGTGCTGCTGCAGTATCAGCCCATTTCTCTTCTGTCCTTAAAACGAGAGTGTGGATTTTTTAGACAAATTCATCTCAATTCCAAAATCCAAAATAGTCTGGATGTTGTCAAACCTATGTTTTACAAGTCCCACCAGCAAGAACCCATTATGTCATGCAAAAGTTACTCAGCAAACATGCACACATCTGAACTACGCAACCAACCAAATATTTTAACTTCTACAGAATCTCTACACAGATCAACAGAACATAAAGCCCAGAAGAATCCTCTAATGCAACCTGGTATGAACTGGAAAACTCACCTAGAACCCTTCAATCTTTTCTATGCTTACGTACTTGCCATGTATTAAATGAACCCATATTCCTCTCTCCTAATTATCATAAAACAGAAGAAACAAGACTAGAAAAATCAAAGTACATAAGGATCCAAAAGGAAATATGTAAGAGACATTTGTTGAAGGCAATCTCTACAGAAAGTAAAGTTCTGCTCTTCACTTAAGACATTTTCAAGAATTCAGGAAGAACTGAGACGTGTTTTTTGTTACCTTAAAAAAAAATTCAGATGACTTTCACAGTACTAACTGGAATGATCACAATTGATAAATTAATGAAATTATTATGTATTAAACAAGAATTTAATAATTTCACAGTGGTTGGAAAATATCTTAGAGTTTTTTTTAAAAAATTAGTTTTAAAATCAAGTGTAGACCACTCATTGTGTTTTTAAAAAGAAAGCTTCTCTGTCTTGGAAGGCTTAAAGGAATAACCTCTAAATTTAAGGGTCACAAAGCACCAGACATGCAGAAGTGAGGAAGTAAAAAATTAGCATGTGCTTTTAATCAAAATGCAAGAGCTTCAAAAGTCCCGAGGAAAAAGCAGTCTTGTCATTTGAACTTGTGTGTGCTTGAAGGGAACTAAACCAAAAAGCTTTAAAGCACAACTTGACAATTTTTTTCTTAAAAAAGCAGAAATTCTTTACATTTCAGAATAATTTCTGAAGACCTAACATACCTAATATACATTGAATGTGTATAGCATTTATCAGTTATCTACAGTTTTCTTCTATGAACACTGACATTGTATTTCCAAAAGAGAATCCAGAGACAAGATGACAAGTGAAAGCAAGGAAAGTGTACAGTTTCTAGAGTGAAAGACTTAAAAAAAAGGTTCTATGTAGTTCTGAAGGACAGAATGTTGGTATTACTCCCAGACAGATATAGGCAAGTTTCTCTGGCTACCGGGTTTTCCTGAAAACTAGCCTTCATGGTTATCTGACACAAGTGAGGACTGGTAATTTGTACTATTTCATGTGCCAACAGTAGAGTCATGACAGCACTGACTAGTGTTCAGCTAGACTTCTCCCACTGTTTTGATCACGTTCAGATAAGAAAAGCTCATTTCTGTGCAACAAACTTATTTTTGCCCATAAAAATTAAATAACTTGAGACAGACAAGGCATAGCATATTCTACAAATTGCCCAATCCATCTTTGAAGTTTGAAGCTATGATATATCGAGTTCCATTTCAGTTGTAATTTCCCCACAAGAACTAGGGAAGAGTTAGCCCAGTTTCTCTGTTGGGTAGAAGAAAAAAGGGGAAAAAAATACCAATATTAGGAGGCTGTATTCCCTTACAGAAAAGATTAGTCTAAACAGAGGAGAAGCTTTAAAAATTAAGCCAAGGACAAAACTCTTTTCTGGACAGCTAGTGAAGACAGTGAAAATCTGCATACTACTTTAACCTATCTCAAATGCAAAACACTTCCAGACTGTAGCACAGGCACCTTCAAATAGAAGTTTCAGTCATAGATTGTCAAATTGTTCCTATTAACTGATCCATATGTCCTCAAGAAGTACTATGAGAATAGTTAATGCTGCAGAAAGCTGGTTAGTATGGTTAAAAGAAACTTCTGCTGTAAATTATTACTAACAGTGATTTATCTTTTGAAGGCCAGTTCTGCAGGAGTGCATTCAGATATGCTTAGAGTAAGAACTCCTGCTTTTAATACTTGGAAAAGAGTTAGGAGAATTTATTTCCTCCAATGCATCTGTCTCATGCTATTAAGCTTATTACTAAAAAAACAAGACTCGTATTAAAGACTTTTCACCCCTTTCACCAGAAGATTCTTGATTCTACAGCAAAATAAAGAAGCTTGACAGATGCAACTAAAACTAGAAGAGGCAAAATGAAATACAAAGCCTTTGCTGCAGAACAAAAAAAAAAAAAAACACTTTGCCTCATCACATGATTGACAAGATAAAGATGAAGGAAGCCCATGAATCTTCCTGGTGAACCAGATGAGCAGAAAAAAATATTTATTAGAAAAATATTAAACGTCATTTTGACACACCAAAAGAAAAGCTAATACGTAGTCAGAGCTTAGATGTGTTCTTTTCATGCAGTGCACCCAACACAAACATTAGATTTGGCTGCTATGTTTTCAAATATGTTTACTCAGAAAAAAGATTGCTTAAATTATTTAGCCAATGCAAAATGAGACTCAAAGTCTTTTGTAAAAAAACAATTGTATGAGACAGGATATTTAAAAAATAGCTGGGTGTCAATTACAGCAATTTACCTATATATCCAGAATATTACAGCATTTATGAGGGGAACTTGAGATAATACATTCTTAATCTAACTGCAACAACAGTAAGCTGTTTTGCCCTCACTTGAGGTATTTTGATTTAAAAAAAGCTGTTATCATTTTTGCTCTAAAAACTGCTGTATCTTAAGGATATGTGTTAGTAGTAAAAAACATGCAAGTCACTAGGTTTTAGAATTAGCTTTTATAAGCAAGCCACACAGCAGTCTCAGCATCTCAGTGAGCAGCAAAATACAGATGTAAGTAATGCTGATGTTACAAAGCCTGGGATCCTAAAATTACTTTCATGCCACTCACAAACAGAGTCAACAGTTATTCTTCAATGTCTAACCTAATCCCTCAAGACATCCCAGTGCACCTTTTGTTTTGTGCATCTTTAGACTTTGCTCCTCTAAGCAAGAACTGTCTTCGCTGCATACCTTGCACAGCACGGAGCATGCTGTTGGTGCTTAAATACAAAAAAAGACACATTGGCATTTTTGTATCAAAATGTACAAGATACAAACCTCCAGGAAGATATGATTCACTTGCTGTGTCATCCCCATCATCTCCATCTTCATCATCACGACTCAACAAATTATTTACAGCAAGGTTTACATCAAGATTTGTTCGCTGGAGTTCCCGAATAATAATACTTCTGGACTTGCCTTGTAAAACAACTTGTGCCTGTAAGAGCAGAGAACTGGTTATCAGTCCTTCTCAGCTCACCATCTATCATTCATATGAAGAGAATGCCCAATTCTAAATGTGCTCTAACAAAATCCAGAAGTCAATCACGGTACATAAAGGCAAAGGCTCACACAGATTCTTCACAGTATCTTGTACTAGAGAGTCAACCTTCTCTTTGAACTAGAGAGTTCAAATTAGGCCTCCGAATTTCAGCTTTGTTACTGTAATGGAATCTTAGACTCTACTTCCTGAAATGTTTAGTGCCATAGTTAAAGGATAAGTAATATCTGGCTTTGAGAATGTTCTCTGTGTTTCTATAAAAGTGTTCAAACTTACTACATTAATCAACAGTCCTGCAATCAACTGTTGTTCCAAAGCCACACCTCAATCCCTGCCTTTTTGACACTGTTTTCTCTTTCCAATGCTCCTGAATAGGTAATCGCCTTGCTTCCTCTTTTTTTTTTTCCTCATCATCCTGTTTCTGAAGGCTTATCTTCAGCTGTTTCTGCAACACTTGGATTTTTATTAGCAAAGTGCAAATGCAGAAAAAAAACTTCTAAACGTTAAATAGACGCAATGAATTTAGAAAAAAACAGAAGCATTCTGGTTTATTCCAAAAACCCGAGGACTCCGAGCATTTTGTTTTTGCAGATAAGACTACCCTCTACTGAATGACAGAGCAGATGACAAGAGTTGTGGATGATCAAAAACTATGTGAAGAAGGTAAGAAATCAGTAGTGAATGTTTTTGTAACACAGTAAAATTGAATCACCAAATAAAATGGTCTGTTGACAAAAAAAAAAAAAAAGAAGATACATTTTGTAACAGCACACAAAGGTAAAATTTTGTCATAGCGTTCTATGCCAGACATTTACAGATTTTGAGAGATGGTAGTATCTGTGTTACATAGCCCAACTGTGAAGATCTTTCCCACTGGTCTGCTTTAGAGTTACCCCAAAAATGTTTTAGACAACTTCTGTTTTAAAGGTAGACAAAGTATGTTATTTAAAAAAAAAAATACACAAACAAAAAAACCAACATCACAACAAGGGAAGCAAGTTATGAGTTAACCAACAAACCACTCATTAGATAAAACAGAACTGTCTGGACCAAGGGATATTAGTCTGTTTTTCTATTTCATATAAGGTATCAAGGATGTCAGTAAACACCCCCAAAAATCCTGGAGAAGAACAATGAAGTCAAAAATGCCCCACCACTCCACAACTGAAAAAAAACCACTGAAGATTATCTAAGCAAACCATCTCCTGGAAGAGGGCCAATTCCAAAGTAACCAACACCTCCAGTATCTCATACTGCAAAGGCAGAAGCTTCCAGTTTTTAGTGGGTTTTGAATTCAAAAGGAGAAAGGAACTAGAAGCCAGTCTGCCACTGGTGGTTCTGTAGATATCTTGCCCACTAGCCCCTTCTTGCCGTGTGCCAGTCATGCTATGGGCCATTCAAGGCATGCAAGGCAGATTATCTTTGGCCTAAAAACTAATTCCTGTATTCCAAATAGAGACCAGCAGCTTCTTTGGAACTAAGGAATTAAGATGTATTAAATAGCCATATATTTTGAATGCATTTTCTTCAAAGACAGAGCAAAACACTGTGTTACAAACTCCACTTAACCATGAAATGCAAAGTCAGCATATTCAGACTCCAGTGCATTAGGATGCAAAAGCAGAGCAACTTACATCTCACATTCATCATTTATAATAAAAAAAAGCAGATATTCATGAAGAAAAAATTAGTATTTTAAAGAGATTAAAAAGGTGTCATATCTTCAATCTCTCTCTAAATTGGATCACTCCTTTTTATCAAACAAGAAAAAAAGCCTGCCTTGCTTCTTTATACTCCTTCAAGAAACTTAATTTTATTAGCTACATGCTTGATATTATTCTCAAATATTTTATTTTCTCACTACATCTTCCATCTGCAAATGAGTGAGGCATGACATTCCATATCCAAATTAAATACATTCCTTGTCTTAGTGGAAGTTTGAGAAAAGAAAATTCTGCAATCTAAGGAAAGTCTCTAACTCACACCAGGCATTTAAGAATAAAAGCCATTCAGCCAGGGAAAGCCAATCTTTTCAGCTATATGCCATTACTCCTTGTAGAAGACACACTACTATTACAACACATTGCTGTCCATATACTACGAGACGCTCTCCAGGCTTTTGGCCACAAGCAGTTTCTAGCTCACATACCTGTGAAATGAGTTCCTCTGGAATGACTGATGCTGGAATCACTGGTTGTGGTTGACTCCCCAGCAGCCCAGATCCTCTATCTCGTCCTGTGCGTATTACTCTGGTCTGCCTTCGAGAATCTCGAGCTCCAGCAGATGATCTACCAGAAGATCCTCCTCCACTTCCACCAACCCCTGAACTCCAGCGGCTTCTAGAAGATTTAGATCATAATTTAATTTTTATATAGAAGCATACTTTGAGGACTACCTCAAGAAGTAAGTCTTTAGTTTTATTAATAACTTGTATATAGTCTCTGAAAAACACTGTAGATTGGCTTCATGGACAAACACCATGAATGTATCTCCCAAAACCAGCAAGAACAAGAGTACCAGGCATTTGGTCATGTTCTGAACTACACAAAAGAAATATAAAACAGGACTCTAGCTAGAAGTTGAACTCTTTCCTATTCTTACAGTTGTGTACATACATGTATAGATGTATACATACATAAATACATGCACCCACCATTCCTCAGGTTTTCTAAAAGCAAACTTATCAGCAACAGTAACATCCAGCCCTCAGCTGTTAAATTCCTACTATGAATGCACATATGCAGCAGCTTTATGGTCAGTGGACTCTTTTTGACAGAAGGTCACTATACTCTTCTAAAATTTTGGAGACTTGATTTATATTAAGAAATTGCAAACTAAATCTACACTAGGTACTTCTCCGATTCTCATGGGTGGTTTTCAAGAGATACTAAACTGTGGACCTATTTCTATTGGAGACATCAACACCAGCTGTATACATTGCATGTCTAAAAATGTTTTTTCATTTCTATGAGTCAGTACCAAAACAAGGGACTAAAAAGGCAGTCACTTGTGGAAACAGACAACTCAACACCATTACAACTTTCCACTCATCTTAACACCCTGGAACTATGACAAATGACTCTGTACTGGACCCAAGACTAGATGCTATAATGTTGTGAAAGGCCGAAAGGCTCTAGTAGTTTGCTCTTCAAGGTTAAGTGAACTTTGTTGTATAAAGCTACCTTAAAGGTGGATATGGTATCGTTTCTATTAAATAATCAGTATCAGCAGAACTTTCCTGCTCTCAACCACCCTAATCCTCAACCTCCTTTCAACAAAACAGTTAAAATAAGACAAAAGGTATGTTCTCTGAAACAGCATCTAGTAAATTCATATTAAAAGTATAATTAGCTTTTATAGCTACATGTGGTAAAGAACAATACTTGTTCTACATTTTATGGCTTAAGTTGATTATTAATATCCTTTGCTTTTTTGGTAGGGTTCCTCCCCCCCGACTAGACAACGCAATTACAGAATAACTCGAGTATCTGCCCAAGATGAAGCCCTGTCACAGAGACATCTACATTTTCAAGATTCTAGCAAGCAACCACACAGACAACGACAAGACAAAAAGCAATTCAACAACAGTTTTAGGAAAAGTCTTCTATCATGAGTTAGAAAAAGAGCTCTATAAAAATGACACTACTGAAATTTTTTTTTTAAAAAGTGACATTTTAAATAAATCAAGCCATTAATCTGTTTCTGAAGGTGGAAAGGGGGGGGGTGAGGTGAAAAGAAGGGGGCTGAGGGGAAGTCAAATTCTTTCTACATAGTAATTCTCAATTCAGCCCTCAGCAGGGAAGATGTGGGTTTAAAAAAAAAAAAAAAAGGTTATGTACTAGATTTTAACACTTAACTACAGATGTATTTTATACTCTAATACTCTAATATTCTAATGCATAAACCAAGGACTGACTCAAGAAATCTAACAGTTAAAACCATTCATACCCATATAATATTTCAAATACTCCAAAAGTGTCCTAACCTGGTCCTGTCACACAGGAAAAAAAAAAAAATTCATGACACTTATTCCTATTAAAGCTGCCTAAACCTAGAATAAATATTAATACAGGACAAAATCTTTCTGATCATTTTTGCACACCTGCTAGCTTTCCTACATCTCTATCATGCTAGCAATATCCCATATCAAATGATCTGATCTAATCTAATGGTTCCACAATTTGAATATTTTTAGACTCAGCTTATTAAGTTAAATATTCCCTTCACTTAATAGAACAGTCAGTGTCTACTGCTGCTCTACTAGTCTGGTGACTTCCAGCTACTTAGTTCTTAAATGTGCAAGGGAGGGAAGTAGGAACTCCTCAGGGTTGGTCTCCTAAGCACACTACTTCAATTTTAACCAGTTATGCTCAGGTAAAAAATAACAAGTACAAAAAAAAAAAGCATTATGCTTTCCACAGTAAGTTTTTAAACATGACAACACCAGTTTGCTTTTAAAGTTTACCAGAAGGATTTTAGGTTCAGATGCACAAAGGTTTCACAAAAAGCTTGGGGGGATAAGAGAGTGGGTTATCTTTCATGCAACAAAGCCCCAGATGAAATTAGCTTATTTGGTAATGAACAACAAATTCACTTTTACAGAAAAGCTGTAGTTCCTCCCTCTTAAATCATTCACATGTAACCACAGTTTGTAAATACAATTCTCCTTACTATGGTTAGTAACCTTCAGAAGCAGCATAGTTCATGTCTTACAGAAGCATTTAACAAAGAGATCACTGCGATTATGTAAAGAAGATTAATTTACATTGCTATATAGAGGGACACCATCAATTTTAAAGCTAATGATAAAAAAAATGAATTTGTATAGTACATTTAATATATAGTACAATTTTAATGGTTTTGAGCAACCACCTCTTCAAAATGTTCCTTTCCTATTACTATGTATAAGACCCCAACTAACAAAACACCACTTGTTACTTGGGCAGGTGAGAGCAAGGCACAATAAAGCTGAGCACACAAAGGTCTGCAAACATTGACAATGAAGATTCTTCCTGCATAAATGCATGCATTTTACTTTATGCTGCTAACCTATCAGAGTTTAAACTGATAGTGTCCCTCTAAAAAAACTGCTTTTCACAAGTAAGGAACTAAAATCATCTTCAAAAGAGACAACAGAGCCAAACCCAAGTTATTCTTCACACATATATGAAGATCACTCCATTTCCTAGGTACTGAAGGGTCACTTGTATATCTGTTATTTCAACCAAGTCAATAAAGTTCATTTTTATTGCACCCTACCTACACAACTGCTGTAATTATACGTTCCCTCACACATACTGCATACAATTTATATATGTGTATACACATATACTCAAATATGGAACAAACAGATTGCAGCCTCAGTCCTATCAAAACTTACCCAAGGGTGTTGCCTGCCAGTCTGCCCAGAGTTTCAGAACCAGACAGAAACCATGGGGAGTCACTAGTCCTGCCTGGCCTGGATGTCCTTCCTGCCCCTGAGCCACTGTTCAACTTTGAACTGAAAGTAAAAGATGGTAAATCAGTCACAAAACAATCCCAAATGGGTTAAGAACAAAACCTGGAATCCCAGGTCTAAATTCTCAGGGACTTAGTCTGGTAACATACCAGCTTAAGCAACACCCTTGGGGAATATTCCAAACTAATCTAACTGTACATTGAGGTACACTGGAAAAAGAAAGTGGAAAGCATGCCTAACAGATCTTATGTACATTGGCAATCCATAATAGCACAGTTGTAAATACATATTAAGCTAATTAGTGATCTGAGTTAGGCACTGCACTAAGTTTTCAGTTAGCATCTATGACAAATTGTAACCACCAAGTGTTCTATCCATAAACCTGAGCCTGAGTACACTACTTCAATATTAACAAGCTGTTTACATTCAAATATGAACCATTAAATAGCCCTGTCAAGGGGGACTTACCTGGATTGAAGACAACAGGTCTAGGAAGTGAGACGGGATCACTTCCAGAATGGATTCTACATGAAGCTTAACAATTTAATACTATTTCTTTCATAGGGGTTATTTTTTGAGAGGTTTCTTTCTTGAAGTTAAAGAGATTCTGTCTCACTCATCTTAGATTCACATCTAGCACTTATTCCTACATTACTATGTCAAGCTAGGCTGTTTGGCTGCATCACCATAACCATTACGCCTCTACTCAAAGTACGCATTCCAAAGGCAATCTAGCTTAATCAAAGCACAACAAAAAAAGCAGCTAAGCTGCTTATCCAGTTTAAAAGAATGATATAGTATGAAGAAAGGTGGTTCTTACCCATCATTATTATCAGGTTTACCCAATTCCAATCTGTCTGGTTGAACTGAAAAACCAATCCTGCAGACTCTACCATCCTATATTTAAAACAAGAAAACCAAGTGTCCAAAAATTGAAATTTAAGACAAAATACAGAAAAACAAAATGCAAGCAAAACCAAGTCTTCAGTTGCTGAAGAATGTTGGTCAATCTGAGTTAGACAAATCAATTTGCTATCTGAGCAGATTTAAATAACTTACCTCAAGAAGAAACGCAGCATGATTTGGTCCCACGACACACTGTTTAATAGTGGCCTGTTCCAATACATTCAAAGGGGGGTGGCTGCAAACAAAAAGTGAGCATGTATAACATTTAAAAACCTTTAATGTTTGGGAAAAAAAAAAAAAAAAAAACACACCACAAGAGGTATAAGGAAGGAAAAATGTGCTGTGATAGTTACTGACATTAGAACATTGAAGAATGACGAAAGGTGCATTAGCTAAAGCAAGTACAATGTATTTTTGGTCATTAAGCACAGAAAATGCAGCATAAAACCTTTACAGATGACAAGCTTTCATTTAATTTGATCAGCAATAAAGAACAGTGGTTATACTGCAAATCAAGGAGTCATTTCATATGGAAGAGGGATATTTAATAAAATAATTTATCTTAACTGAAACTAACATTTTCTTCCCAACATAAGAAGAGTGTTATCAGAAGCATTTCTGAACTTTAGAATTAGTAGTATTGAGGCTTTCTAAGGCTACATCTACAGTAAAATAATTTGTTTCTTACTGCAAAATTATACTTTCCTAAATGATTTGCAGCAGCATGTGATATGCCTTACCTGTTTAAATTGTACTTGTTTAGCTTCTCTGAAACTTCCCTTAATCTGAAAGAAAAAGAAATGAAGCTGTTGTTTGAAAGACATCCTCTGCAGTACACAACATCCAGTTCAGCAGCATATTTACAGCCTTATGGGAACAACTTACCACCACACTTAATGGAACTTTATCTAAACACTACTTATTGTTAGGAGTCTACATAAGAACTGGATGGCGTTCAGCTTCAAACCAGGGTTTTGTTTTGGAGGTTTTTTTACTTCAGAGTTTTACCTACCCTTCCACCTACAATCTTGTCACAAACCTCATGTTGTCTTGCATTTCTATGTGTTTTTCAAGTCACTGTCAAAAAGCACTACTCCTGCCTTGTTACCACCACTTACAACTTTACACACAAACTAAGCAGATGAAGCAACGAGCATTAACTGTAGATAAATTTCCGTTTCCTTGTGTAAGCTTGAATACAGCATCCCACAGCAGACAAGATTATAATTTCTAGGAAATCCAAGTACATGGCACATCAGAGCCAAAAATGTGACAGTAAGTTCTCCAAAACAGAAGACAGGAAAACAGATACACAAAAGCCAGCATCAAAATGAATGAAAAACAAACTTTGACTAGGAGAGGAAAAAATCCAAGAGAAACTCACGATATATAGGGTTATGTAAAACATCACCTTTACTAAAAGGAAAAGAACATTCTCAGAAGTACTTCCACCTCACTTTCACGGCACCTTATACCAAATGGTAGATCAGAATCCAAAAAAGGGCCAATCCGCAAAGCACTCCTCCTTACAGAGTCCAAAAGTAAAAGTCAACACAGTAACTTCTAAGATAATTTCTAATCCACTCCGAAAAGATCCTCTCCAGGCAGCAAAGACTCTCATAATATCATGTACACATTTCAAGCAAAGCTTGGGCTCCCTCCTTCCCAAAGATGATAAGCAATCTGAAAAAGCCCCGAAATAGCTTAAAATTTTAGTTAGAATTTTCATGTTGTATTCAGATAAAACCCACAGTAAATCCTATAAAAATAATAGAAGGTCTTCCTAATTAGGCCAAAAAAGTCCCAACTTTGGTCTCATGTTCATCCTAGCATTCCACAAATATTCTTCATCAGCAACAAGTCCTAAACGTTACCAAAAAAAAAAAACACATACACCAGAACTGTTTTCCTCTGTTTGAGGAAATAAAAGGAAAATGTGTAACAGACATGTCTGAATCCATGTCTTAAAATCCTCTCTTTTTTCTTGCTTCACATAAGTTCCTACACACAGACTGCTACGGATAACAGACTTCAGTTACTTGCAAACCCTGGGCATGAGAAAGAATACAGACTGGAGGTCCAAACAGCCAAGTCTTAATGTTATCAGCAGCGTTCAACTCTAAAGCGCTTGTCTTGAGGGGGAAAAAAAAAGGGAAAAAATCTGTGTCTGAGAAACAAGATAATTTATACAGATGGAAACAACTTTCAAGCACAAGAAAAAAAGGACAACAGTGAAAGGACAGCAGGAAGGAAGCGAACGTGTTTAGAATCACCTTTTGCTATCCAAGTGAAGCTGCTGGTTGTAAGCAGGCAGCTTCACACCCCTCTTTTCCAACCGAAACTACCTCACGCAGGCCCAGAGCATATACATAGGTAAGGGTTTTCTAAAGGCACTCCACAAAAAGGGAAGAGAGAACACAGTTCACATGCAATTCCCACAAAAGGAACCCTACAGGAGTGAACTACTGTGGGAGAATGTGGAACAAACCCCGAAGACCAAGAGCATCCACTCCACAGCTTGCTGTACAGCTTTATAAAGCAACAGGGATCTGCTGCATAGCACGTCAAGTTAAACATCCCCGAAGTTCCATGTCGTAAGTATATCACCTAATAGCTCCCCACAGCAATCCCAAGCAGTTTCCCACTAACATTTCTCCACTTGGCAAACACGATCAATAATTATAGAATAGGAAAGCCTATCTTGAAACTCACTGCACTGTCTCTTTGAGAAGCTGACAGTGAATTACAGTTGTGCTTTAGTGGAGATGGTTACTACCCGTCTCTATGAGCAACATTTAAAGCTTCATTATCTGAGGTTTGTCACAAAACCTGAGTACTACCAAAGAAACAGTTTTCAACTTGTAAAAATATCATCTTTTTGTTGTTGGGGTTTTTTTTGTTTGTTTGTTTTGTGTTTTGTTTTGTTTGAGGTTTTTTTGTTTGTTGGGTATTGTTTGGGGTTTTTTTGTTTGGTGTGGTTTTTTTGTTTGTTTGTTTGGGGTTTTTTTTTACAAGTGAAAAAGGAAGTGATATGGAAGAAATATACCTAGAAAGCTGAGACTTCCATACTTAGAGAATCTATCAGTAATACCAATCTCAAGAGAGTAGGTCTACCTGCAGCAAGCATAGGTCAAAAGAGATGTAACATTCCTGCAAAGAGCCTGCTGTCAAAATTTAAGGGAAGGGAGCAGAGAAAGATACAAGCCATGACACTGAAAGTACTAAACTCCACTACAGAAAGAAAAAGTAAAAACTATCTCACTCCCTCCACCATCTTGTATGCAACTGCTGTAATAACAAAATTACCTAGTACTGCCTAATAAGCTTAGAGATCCAAGAGGACTTGAATTTGATACCGAACTGCAGGGAGTGAAAAAGGAATACAGGAGTACTTCCCCAGCGGCCCAGCCCTGCCGGGCTGCTGGTTTTGCCCCCACCACTTCCCCCCGCTTCCTTCTGCTGCCACCAGCATTTGCTTAAGCACCAGTCACAAAACTAAACCAGCAGAAAACCAAGAATCAAGTGGAAAGCTGTGTTTGTATATTCTGTACAGCTTTATATTGTTTGTGCAAATAAAAACTCAAAGTAATTTCACAACAAGATTTCCTGCAGCAATCTCAGCCTTTCTACTCGAACAGTTGCATGGTTTTGTACTTATGACCCTCTGAAGGAAAAATATGAAATGTATATTTAAGACCAGGTTAATTTTAACCATGTGATTCAATAATTTCAACTGGAGGAAGAGACAGAGGCAGAGCTATTTAATCAATTCTCATACTAAGGAAGGTCAGCACTTCCACTGAGACCTTTCTGTGGTAAAACAAATTTCCAATACGAATGCCTGGACAGGTTAAGCTTTGAAAAATTCTCATTAAAGGCAATAAAACCATTTCAAAGGAAGCCGTTAGAATCCACGTGTATTCTGCTCAGAGATTTTTGGGAAATACACTGGCTTGCCACACTTCTAGACAAAAAGTTTAGTGATGATGGCTCCTGTGTTAAGACACAATCTTTAAACATCCTTATCAGAATTCATCCAAAGACAGTTGTGAGGAAAACTTCAAAAAGTTAGTTTGTCCCAGCCAAGCAGGGATTGCTTTAAGTTTTGCAGCTACAATTTCTAGCCTCACCAAACAGATCACAATAGAAGGGAACTGTGCTCTAAGCTACCAAAGAGGCTCCAGGTCAGGACCATGGCAGCTCAGAATTCACAAGCAATGCTTTTGTCTATCACAAAGATACTACATTTCTATTTCCAGAGCAGTTCATCTGAGGACTCATCCTTTTACCACACCTTGCTTTGTAAAACCAAGTTATACTCAAAAATGCAAGAGGACCACAGAGAAACTAATTTTAAAAATACTAAGCACTTTATAGAAAAACTGGACTTCAGTACATTTTAAGGTAACTTCAGCCTGTTTTAAAACGTCTTAGATCTACACAAGCAGAATTCTGGTTTATAATTTGTGCTTTTATACAGTTTGTAGGAATAAAAATCTTGTTTCAAAGTGAGCAGGCTGTCCTGAGAATTATTTTTTCGAAGACACTATAGACTTCTATGGTCCATGTTCACCACACTCAGATCCCTGCAGCAGTTCAGCAGCAGCCCTACCTTGTCAGTCATCCTTCAGGAACATTAATCCTTCTCACGCATTTCCACTATGCCAGCAACTGTTCACAGACCAGCAAATAAACCGTAAGACAATGCAGAACTTTCTTACTGCTGTAAGGTTTTAAACTAGTTCAATGTATGTCTGTTCATCCTTCTCCCCGTGTTAGGAAACCAACAGCTACAAAAATAAAGAAAAACCTCACACCTACATCACCCACGCTCAGTCAACATCTGCAAGACATTCTCAAGCAGGCAGGTGAGATGAAGAGCATAGTGCACTGTAAACTGAAATCTCATGTAGCAAGATTTACATAATTTTTCCCTCAAAAACTTATTTGCTGTTGAACAGAAACAGTATTTACAGGTACCAATATCTAATCTGACATTTTGCAGCTTTGGTAAAATAACAGTACAGCTAGCATATTTATTTATAAGTATAAAAAGAATTTCTGCCATTTCAGAGATTAATTTCTGTAACCATATAAAGAAAGCTATTTTTCATTTTTCTCTGCAACTTTAGACTAAATTTTTAAATGTCAGCTAGGTCTTCAAAGAACTCACAGTAAAAACCACTGAAGTTAAGCAATCCAAACAAAGGATATAAATACAGAAATGCAGAACAAAAATGTTTGCATGCTGCATGTCTCCAGAAGGAAGTCTTTCTGTACTTGGCAAGTAACACCACAAGGTCCCAGACAATATTCAGAAGATTCTCTTGGATTTTTCCTGAAGTTGCTCTTTTATAGCCTTATAGAGTTATTTCTACACTTTAAAGTATCAGGCAGAGGCCCCACTACAAGAGCTTTGGTCACTTCAGCACCACATGGCAACACTAAGAGTTTCAGAAGATGAAAAGGAAAGGTACATTAAAAAAAAAAAAAAACACCACACACAAACCAAACAGCTCTGTAGAATGAGCAACTTTGAGTGGGGAAATTAAACTAATTCAGCTCCAGAAGATTTTTTAAGTGATCAGGCCTCTGTAAGAGAACTTCATATGTCAGTGTAGCCTGTAAGCCAACAAACTTAAGAGACTACATCAGAATGGAAAGAAGCACAGAAGAATTGACACAATTCTTTTCCCAGAGGAGGCTAACATATAAGCAGATATCCAAGAAGGGAAAAACACCCAACTCTGGAAAACACTACAGAGTAACAAACCTACCAAGACTT